AACACACAGACACAAAAAAAAAAAAGAGAGAAAGAACTGGGAGAAGGATGAAGGAGAAAATTATAATCAGTTTTTGATTCACGTCTCTATGTTGTCTCTGAGTCTCTCTGCACAAAAAGGCCTGCTGTAATATCCCAGAGATAATATTAGGTTAATCTCCGGTCCAGAAAAAAAGTTTATAATTAAACTCTACACATCCAACACTCTTTTTTCATGAAATGGTGCGATCCAATGGCTAAGACGAATCAGACCAAGTGGTGCACCGGTTCATGAAATGTCACATACACATTCAATGAAACACTTCAATCTCTATAAATAGAGACCTCCAAATTCATTTTTCAACACACCACATCAATTAAAACACAATTGTTTTCTAAATTCATTCTCTCTCCAAATTCTGTTAACAAAAATTCTTTCAAATATATTCGTGGTTATTTGGCAATTTTTTTTTTTTTTTTGAATCCTTTTCTTAAAAAGTTCTGCAGTACTAGTAAACACTTGAAAATCTTGGCAGTTTTCTTTTGCTCTTTCAGTGAGGCAATCAAGTGCTCCAATGTTGTTGTTTCTTCATAGTTATTTCATAAAGTATGCTGATAAAAAGGTGTACATCTTTACAGGCAAGGTTTATGGAAGCTGCTGTTGCCTATAAGAAGAAGATTGGATTCAATGGTATTGCTCATAGCTACTTCATTAGCGGCGATAAAATGCTGAGCATCCTATTATTATCTCTAACTTGCTTCTGTACTTCCTTTCGTTACAACTTGTTGGACCATTTGATCTAAAAACTTATGCTATTAGGCCCCTGTTTGACAACCATTAAATGAGAAAAACCGTGTTTTGAATAGTGATTTTTAGGAGATTGTGTGGTTAAAAAGTAGAAAAAAAATTGAGTTTACGTGCAAAATATTTTATTATTTGAATGTGTGTTTGAAAATGAGTGTTCAAAAAAAGAGTTTAAAAATAATGGTTGTCAAACATGGGCTAGATAAGGTCAAATGTATTTCATTTAAATATTATTTTCAACTCGTCCTTTCACGTGTAGGCAGAATTTATATTTTCCCATTAAAGCCATACAAGTGCACAATTTTTAATAAATAGGTGGCAACGAACCCATAACCGTTGCATGCTCTGATACAATTTAAAAATTAAATTCTTGTACATAATTATGTATCTCTCTTGAAGGGAGGGGTTTTTTCCTTTTCTTGAAAAAAAAAGAAAGGCGGAACATTCGAAAGAGAATAGCAACTCCTGTTGCATTTGTTAATCAACTTCCAGAAAATCCTCAACAGGATGGGGATGGTAATGTCTGTCCCCAACCCGACTCACGCCCATTATCATTCCTAA